CCAAAAAAAAATAAAAACCAAAACAAAACAAAACCCTTCAACCATGTTTTGACTGTTGATGTTCCATGCTGTATCCACCAGAGGGCAACCTTGATCATCATTGACAGCAATGCACATGTTTAAAACTAATGAGAAAATAATAGCTGAAACAAGTACTGGTTTGGTTTATATCAGGTGGGCTGTACTTAGTACACACTTATCGAATAGTTTGGCTAGTAATTCAGTGACAAATAATCTTCATAGACAGAAATACCAAAATAAATAATACATATTATTATCATTATCATTAATAATAATAATAATAATAATATTCACACAATTGTTGTCTGTTATGTGTATGCGTATATCTTCTTGTGATGTAAACTGAAAGTGTTCAGACGCTACACAAGGGGACAGAAGAATATCGGACTGCCAAATTAAAGAAATAATATCAGATTACACTCCTGTTAGAGATCTGTTACTGTTTGTCGTGTGCAGCACCTGCCCACAAAATACACAATGGAATGATTTAAAAATCTCTGTCCATCTCAAAGCCTGAACTCAGATGTAGGTCAGTTCACACAGACACATAGTTATTTATAGCAAACAAAGCCCTTTACCCCATTAAGTATCATCTTCCCAAATCTCCTTAGATGGACTGTCTGCGCGCACACACACACACACACACACACACACACACACACACACAATATATCTATAACTTAACACACATGATACAGTACCTGATCAGAAACACTGTACCAGCCATAATTAAAGGGACTGAATCGGTCCTGTGGGGTCAGGGCCACCACCACCAGATTATAACAGGCTCTGGACATGAAGAGGAGAATCACCATGGCACCGATGGCTGTCGCTTGGCACACGGATGTACCCTAAAGGAAGAATTTCTGTGCTTATTACAAGCTCACGCATCAGCCGGCCAGCTTTCCTGTAATGTATTGTCAGATGTGGGCCACCGATGTGATCCACAGTACAACAGATGCTTTAGCATGACAGAAATGTCTGACTACAGCCAAAGATTGAATTATAGGAGAGATATGATATTTTCTCATTGGATTTCTAAGGTTGCGTCCAGAGAAGCATCTTGTTCATTCATTCACTATTCCCTGTGTAAAGGTTACTTTATAGTTTTTATACTTTGGTAGTGTAAAATCATTTCAAATTTTGGGACTTTTGGGAAAGGAGGATAAAATATCTCAATCGCCCCCATGTGGCTGGTTGCAGAATAGCTGATAATATTTGTTTTCCCTGATAAATAGTTTTTTTGTTATGATATAAAGACAGTTTATATCATAAAAACAATGGCAGACTCCTGCAGATGGGACGAAAATATGCAGGTTACAGTTTTCTTCACTTCCCAAACACAGTGCTGTTGGAAAGTGGATGATCTGAAGACACTGAATGATCAGCATCAAAATTATTAATTCCCAATATCTCACATTGTTGAGTATTAACTGTATTTACTGATTAGAAGAAAGTAATATCAGTGTATCTAAAGAAAAAGCAGCTGAACAATTCATGCTTTTTTCTTTTCTTTGTTTTCCTTCTACCTTGGACTCGAGATAAACGTTGGCAGATGACATCTTGGCGATCTTGAAGATGCACACAGCCAGAGATATGGCACACAGCACAAACAGACTGTCGTTGATCAGGACCCGGGCCAAGACTGCATGTCTGACACTCCCATCACTGGAAACACAGAGGTTATGCTAATGTCTTTCAATACTGGGATAAAATTCAGAATTAAAACTGTGCTATGAATGAATTTTTTCTCCGTTATTTTCAAGTAAGTAGAAAACATTCAATTGAGGGTTTTTGTGTACCTCGGGGATTCAGAGCGTTCAAGAGCTCCTTGCACTAACAGTGCACAAGTCAAATTCACCACCAGGAAAAATATACTGAGGCACAGGAAGAACAAACGTAGGGGAACCCTGGAGAGGGAAACAGACAAATACAGACAGGCAGTAAAAGGACGGCCAAAAATGTGACTTTATTCACACACAACAACTTATTAATATTCATAGTGTTGAAGCTGCCATCCATCTGCGTGCACGTGTGTGTGTGTGTGTGTAAAGAATAAGAAAGACAAAAGAGACTCTAGCCTAATAATTAAGGTTAAAAGGAATACTGCATAACTAAATGCAGTTTACTTAAAAACAGAAATATTACAGATTAAAAAGAGACTTACTTGTACTTTGTGAGCTCTGGTGAATACTTGGCTTTAGCTTTAAACATCACCTGAGAAAGAGACAATGATATCACTTTTATTACAATTATAGGGCAGATACTGTACATTAACAGTGTACTTCCAGTCCATACTGTTATCATTGACATTTAGTATAATAGCTTTGCATGCTGTAGCCCCCTCAGTTCAGCCAATGTCTCAGTTTAGCCCCTCAAGCTGACTTTCTTCTCATTTTGCTGCCCCAATGATTGCAAATAAATGATTTAAACAACAGGTAGGTGGGGCTTCGGTGCTCACAGCTAGACATCTATGCCTGACCCAGCCATATTAGGGATACCCACTGTCAATTATATTATATAGAGCCAAGAAAAAAGTAAACTGTCTAAAACAGAGTTTAGAGCAGTTATAGTGACACCTTTTGGCTGATAGAGCCAAAGATAAAGAAAAACATCATAGGGGCAAAGATGTTACTTCCACAGAAACCACTAACAGATATATGGACATATGGCAAGTCTTTTAATCTTGCCATATGTCCACTGTTAGCTTTTCTAGTAAGACATAATTTGGACTTTCTAGCTGAAGGTTAGACAGGATCACATTGTGTGCTTTTCTTTTATATATTGTTGATTTTAGAAATTACATTTCTGTATGTTTGGGCCTTTTATGACTCACTGATTGTCACAGACTGTCCCTATGGAGCAATAAAACTGTTCTCTGACACAAGCAGAGCCATTACAGCTGCACTTGCAAAACCTCTACTGGTTGGCAAGACTATCATGTTGCTTTAAATATTATCAAATTGCAACATTCACATTGTAAAGGCGAACTAGATGTTAGCCAGAAACTAAATGCTAATAACAACAACTGCTCTGCTGTACGCAGATGAGTAAATGAAAAATTTGTCTATAGCCATCTTATTTATATTTTTCATTGACACAACAGAACACACAGATCATATAATTTAGAGAGTAGCAACACGAAACATTGACAAGTTCTTCAGGTTGGTGTGCACCAGTTAATAACATTTTCACCACTAAGGGTGATGTGTGCTGTTTTTCCTTCTAACTTTTGATATTTCTTTGTTCTCTACCAACATTTATGTGCCACCAGTGCACATAATGTGCTCCCAATTATTAGCCTGTTTAACTCTTATGGTTCAAATTGGTACTGCATGACAGTATGACCCAGCCCCAGCTTAACTTTAGTCGATTACTCTCTACAACAACAGAAAGTTAAAGAGCCCCCCACCCCTACATGTCTTTGACTTTTACAGCTCTGGCTAATTTTATAAGCTAATTTTAAATTATTTTTAAACATAGGTACCCATTAAAATACTTCATCACCTGTGACAATCATATTTTTGTAACATCATAAAAATTTGGAATATTCTTTAAACAGTAAAACAGCTAAAAATGAAATAAAATAATATTAGCTGCTATGCTATGCTATGCTATGCTATGCTATGCTAACTGCTGCACACAGCATAAAAACAAGCTAATAAACTGCTGAGACCTGCACTACACAAGCTATTGACTCTCAGCCGCCTTGTTGCCAACATCTTATCAGTAGCTGCCTAAAAAACATTAACCTGTGCCCAAGTCCAGCATAAAGGTACAAAAGCTGGAACACCGACATCCACTGATCAAGTTCACTCGCTCCTTGGAATGAGTCCCTTTTCATAGATATTTAGCAAAAAAGTCTTTATTCAGCGATTATGACGTACAAACAGGGAAACGCCAACATTTGCTTTTGAGCAACGTTAAATGAAATCATAATCCATTTCTGACATTACTATATGTTACATTTGCACTGGACACACAGGACACTGACCCAGGCAACGCTGAGTTTAAACACACACATGGACACGTACACACATTATCAGTGAGCCTTTTGTGTGAGAATGTAGGCCAGGAGGAGGTAATTTGTAACCTAGAAATGAAGCATCAAGGCAACAGATGACTACCAGGGTGTGTACTTTATGTGCACTATGTTTCTGCATGTATGTTATGGAATTAAAAAAAGTCTATCTATATAAAATGTCCACCTATCAATACTTTGTCTTTATTAATAAGTATACAATGAGATTAGTTCAATTTGTTACTGTGTTTTCTCTCAGCATAGGAAACTCATCACTACATTACAATTTTTGTAGGAAGCAGAAAAAAATATGTATAATAATGGGAAGTACATCACATGTCAGGAGTCACAGCTGACTCATCAGAAAGACACTATTTCCACACATGCATGTCACACAGCAGTTGCATGACAATATATCAGACCTCAGCTAAAGAGGCAAGTGAACATTAAACAGTGAGGTGGAAAAAATAAATAAAATCATTGAATACTGTTTGAAAGAATCAGTCATGTGTTTCAATAGTAAAGCCCTGCAGATCTCAAGGTCTGTGATGATACTATGAAGCTCTTTTTAATGCATTTTCAGAAACGAAATCAAGTTAAGTCAGAGTATTTGCTGAGAAATGAATGCCAGTCTATCGGCATAGAAAATACTGGGTACAATTTTCAGGCTCGTGTGCAGCTCTGTGCTCTCATACAGGAGTTATAACATGAAAAGTGACACAACACACAGGTTTAAATACTGCTTTATGTTTAAGAACTGCTTTGCAAGATGGAGAAGTAGTATTTAGACTCTTAAATAAAAGCAATGACTCTGCAAAAGTAGAAATACACAAGTATTAGCATCAAAACATAATTAAAATACCTAAAGTTAAAATATTCACTATGCTGGGATATAAACATTATATTACTGGATCAGAATTCTTAATTTGGACTTCATTTTAATGGCGAGATGATCTGAATTCCTTCTATTATGCTACATAATTCCATAAGAATATTATATAGTAGCAGGTTTAAGTTTTAAAATCTATAAAATGCTAAATATTTCAATTACAAATGTTACAGTAGCCCTGGGGCATTTGTCACAACCCTGAGAGGTCCATACCTGGACTCAAAGAATAATAATTTCATTATTTTTGACAAGACATTTATCAGTTTGGTCATTTTTCAATAACAATAAGATTTTGTTTCACGTTTTTAAGTGTGGAGTTTTCTTAACAGTTTTTACAGTAAACGATATACTTTTGTGGGCTTTGATAATCAGCAAAATGACCCTTTATGAGTCACTATCACATGGTTAGTGAAGACACTTCCAGTTAACCCTGAGTAAGTGTCAGTAAGTGTCTGCCATTGATTTCCAGCATTTTTGCCTTTTGTCCCATTTACGCAAGACAAAATTTGTCTGGGAGTTAATATTAACCAAAGCCATATTTCTGATATCCATTCATGCAAATTGTCACAAGGTAGTTTAATGCAGAAAACAAGCAATAAGCAATCGCAACCCACAAATTCCAATTCTTACCAGCTAACTCTGTCACTTTGCTTGTTACAAAAAATAAAACAAATAAAGCTGAAAGTTCGTAAAATTCGTCAATTCTTTACAAAGCACAGTTGAGTTCTTTGATGCTTCATCGCTGTGAGTAACTTTGCTTACATGCAAGCCAGCTGAGCCACCGCTGGCGTAGAGATATTGGTTATAGCAGCTTTAACAATGATGGTCAAACAGAAGAAGTGAGCAAAAAGTGTTTTCTGCTATCACTGAGCCTGCAATAGTTTACTGCAGAGAGAGCTTTCAGTTTGAGCTGTATACACTATAAGAACATATGATTCAGATATATTACTCAATGCTGGCCAGACCTGGAAATGTTCATTCACTGGGCTGGGCTGTCACATGATATTCCAACATGGGTATATTTAAATTTAGATTTAAATCTATAGTAACGACAAAGCAAAACAAAACTATATATGACATGATTCATTTTTGTTATTTCAACACAAGGAAATATAAAGCTAATTTTATTCATATTAGAAAGGAGCATAGTTTGTGTGCATTTACACATAAGCAACAATGACTAATCAGCAGTCATAGGACACCATTGGTTTCATTACCAAACCTCCACTTAGCCAGTTGCATGAGCTTCCTTTTTACTCTCCCTGTATGTAAATGAGACATTAGTGAACCAGCCGAGAGTGTGGAGGTGCTTCTGACCAGACGTCAAACCACAAGCTGGAAATGTTTGTTCACTGGGCTGGCCAGTCATGTGATGATCCCAACATGCGTAGATGCATTTGGCACGGGCAGGTGTTAAACAACTGCGTCCGTGACAGTAAACAGGGACATTTTCTTGAGTCCAATCCACTTACTGCACAGGAAACACTAATGGAGGTTAGAAGCAAATGCAATCCACCTTCTCCCACTCCAGGACATGAACCGAGTCTATTTGCAAAGCTTTCAAAACCAACCCAAACTGCTTCAAACCAGTCCGCTCAGAACATGTAGGCCAACGGTGATAACACTGGCCATATTTATTTATCACATACATTTTTAGAGGGAACCCCTGCTATTTTAGACACCGCGTAATGAAAAACTGGCTATATCAAAGTGATAGCTTTGATACTGTCACTTTATGACAAATATTTCAATAATAAGATTGAAGACACTTTTATATCCATCCATTAAGTATTGATGGAATACCACTATTACTATTTCTAGTAGTAGCAGTAATAGTATTGGCAAAGTATGACATTACAATTAGCAGCTGATTAGCTTAGCTCATCATAAGTGTGTTTAGGCTTATTAGCATAACAACTAAAACTGCAAGCCTTAGTTTTTCCAAAAGTAACAAAAACAATTTAGAAAGCTTAATAAACCAAATATACAAGAACATGTATTTTCTGCATGTAAGGTTTCTGCAATCAGAAATGTTCTTAAATCTGAGAATGACCACTTACACTAATTAGCCACTTTAATAAGAATACCTGCTCTCATCCGCCAGTCACATGGCAACAACTCACTACATACAGGCATGCATGACGATCGAGACGACCTACTAAAGCAGGGGTGTCCAACTCCAGGCCTCAAGGGCCGGTGTCCTGCAGGTTTTAGATGTGTCCTTGATCCAACACAGCTGATCTAAATAGCTAAACAACCTCCTGTACATGTCTTGAAGTTCTCCAGAGACCTGGTAATGAACTAGTCGTTTGATTCAGGTGTGTTGACCCAGGGTGATATCTAAAACCTGCAGGACACCGGCCCTTGAGGTCTGGAGTTCCCCACCCCTGTACTAAAGTGTAAACGTGAGGATGTATCTAAGAATGGGAAAGAAAGTGACTTTAAATGCTGCATGATTCTTGGTTTCCATATAGGCTGGTCTGAATATTTCAGAAGCTGCTGATCTGCTGGGACTTTCCAGCACAAACACCGAGTGCCACTCCAGTCTTTTCCCCCAACATTAAGATAACAGGGTCTGAATTTGATGTAGACAACATGAAAACGTGGCTCAATCCTACCTTGTATCAACCATTCATGCTGGTGATGGGGTTTTAATGATGTGGGGATATTTTCTTGGCACTCTTTAGTCCCCATAGTACCAATGGAGCATTGTTAAAAATGCTACAACCAACTTGGGTATTGTTGCTGACCATGTCCATTCCTTTATGACCACACCGTACGCATCTTCTGATGTCTGCTTCCACCAGAATAACAATGCTTTAAGCTTTGTAATAGGACAACTATGTCACAAAGCTGAAATACTCTTAAACCTGTGTCTTCGTCACCAGATCTCAGTGCAATGGAGCACCATTCAGATGCGGTAGAACAAGAGAATCTCATGACTTTGCAGCAGACAAAATCTTCAGCAACTTTGTGATGCAATCATGCCAATATGGAACACAATCTGAGAAATGTTTTCAGCACTTTGCTGAGTCTACGCCACAAAGAATTAAGGCAGTTCTGAATGTCAAAAGAAGATTCAACCTGGAACTAGTAAGGTGCGCCTACAAAAGTGGCAGATGAGTGAAATATAAAACAACAGGAGTCCAGCACGTTTTATCGTGCATTCAATGAATCTCTGAAGGTGAATTAATTGCTGCCTACACCTTTGATGAATGGTCCGCTAAAAAGTATTCATAATGTACAAGTATGTCTATGTGAAACACGTGATACTTGTTTATTGAAATACAAAGCAAACACTGAGCTACTGAATCTGATAAACTATCATGCAGCTCTGAATTCATGACACACAGAAGATGTATTATCTGTAAAACCTTTGACATACCATTAACCTTGTGCCTGTCCTCTCTATGTAGCTCTTACTTTCTACAGGTGTGTCTTGTGATCTGTGCTTTCTGGTTCACCTGGTAAGTCTCTCTGTCTTTAGGCAAACCCAATCTCTTTCTAGGCTGTCCAATCACCCTATTAAACCTGCAGCACAGTTATACCTCTTTCCCCCCATAAAGACGACATTTGACGACCTCCACTGTACTCTCAATGACCAGTTTTGACACTTCAGAATATATCAATAAAGATTTGTTTTGATGACCATTTGAATAGTTTCTGGGTTTTTCCAAGCGTAGAGACCACCCTCACTAATTTCTGGTGCAAACAGTCATTTTGTTCTATATGCAGGCCTAAAATATAACAGCAACCGCTCAGTTCAAAAAAGAACTTCAAGCTCCAGAAAATAGGCTTTTCTGGATGAGTTTGCGGTGTTAATATCTAGTTTAGAAAATCCAACATGATGCTCATTTTATGTATTTTGCTCCCCTTTAGAGTCCAGAAGGCTCTCTTTAGGTTGGGCCTACCTACCGTTTGACTGTCCAGTTCCTCTCAGTGTCTCGGTCATATACACCCTGTGTTTGTAACATGTGGTTTAAAAAGTTAGCATGCCAATGTCCTTCAGCTCAAGCCTTCAAAGACAGGATTTAGTGACATCATAGTGGCAACATCCATATAGTCTGTTATTAAAACTTTTCAAACTGGCAGCACAAGACCTTAAGAGCACTGGATCCTTCACTGATGATGTGTTTTTCCAGTCCCTTGTGACTGACATTTGCACTAGACAGGTGGATAAAGGCATTCCTGACCAACTGTAAGTGCTTATGCTTGCATTTAGGGCCAAAAGAAGGGAAAACTGCAGTGTCAGCAGTTTTATGAAATCTGGTATCTCATACAAACCCTGTACATCACACACACACACACACACACCCTTACCTGTGTGAAGTAGAGGTTGAGCAGGCAGAGGGTGAAGAACTGCAGGCAGACGGGGCAGCAGTAGAGCAGCCAGTAGGCCAGAGGCTGCAGCTGGTTGGCCTGCACCACATTTTTAAAGTAGAAAGAGAACAGCGTCGTCCGCAGCGCTGCCCACAGCAGGCACAGAAACAGAAACACGCTCTGATAGCTGAAACGCTTGTGTCCGTAGTGCAAAATGAGCCAGAGCTGCAGGTAGACGAAAACAAACAGGAGGGAGTAGAGGACGGTGTAGACGGCAGTTAGACTGAGCTCCAGTGCTGGGGAGACTGCAGCTCCGGAGGACTCCTTCAGTGAGGTAAACAACTGGGAATGAACCTCCTCTCCTGCCGAAAACATCTCCGCCGGCGACTCGCACTAACACATGAGGTGCAGTGAAGGCGAACACACTTCAAAGTGGGTCAGACCTGAGCTAAATTCACTGTGGGTGACAAAAAAGACGAGGGGGTGCGGGTGAAAAATTGCGAGAAAAGCAGTTTATTCTGAAAAGAAGTGGCATTGTGGAACTGCGCTGTGCTTTAAATTCGCTACGGGTCTGAAAACGAAAAAAAGGCTGGATTTAGTTTTTTTTTTTAAAGCGCCAGGTTAAAATAACAAGACAGAGGAGAAAGAAAACAAGAGAGAGGTCCCCTTGTGATTCTCTGCAAAGCTGCTCTCTGCTAAAAAACAACTTGAGGGGGGGGGGAAACCTCCAGATCAGCTGTGATGCAGTTATATAGACCCGCCCCCTCGGTCCCAATTAACAGGGAAACTGGCTCTTCGCAGGCCGCCATCTTGGCTCCTCACCAGCCTTGTTTTATTGGAAAACATCTGACTCCTGAGCCGGAGGTTGTAGCTGGTTTCCGAACACCCATAAGTGAACGTCAGTGGCACGCCCACCTTATCAAAACACCGCTTCATTGGCTCATCAGGCCGCCCAACCTCCAGAACTTCCTTTCTTCATTGGGTGACGATGATGTCAGCTGCGGAAGTTTCCGCCCCTTGCGCGCGTGTGATTGGTGATTTGCTCAAGTCAAAACCCTTCCACGATGTGTTTGGTTCAGGGATGCCAGTGGGTGTCTCTCGCAAGCAGATAGATAGATAACAGATAGATACTGTTGGCTGAAAGTTGGGTAAAGGAAAAAGTCAGAGGCACCAAAACGTCTGTGGTTTCAATATAAACGCATATGCTAGCTTTACGTTAACTAAAAAAAGAGAGAGCAACCTGTAATTGTTTTTCTATTTTGTTTTCAAGAAGTCACAGCTCCTTTTCTTTTTTTTATAAAGTGCATTCAGGCGACTGTGTTGTGATTTAGCTCTTTATAAATAAATTGAATTATCATTTATTTCCACTCCTGTCCTTGTCCCTGACCATTTCCAGAGGAATATTAATCAATATCATCAATTTGTACAGAGGTCATTAGAAGAGAGGTACAACACCCAAGGTTTAGGGGTGCATTTCAACCAGTGGTGTTGGGTATCTTATCAAAATTGATTGAATTATGAACGCCGAAAAGTACCGTTAGATTCTGATCCGCCATGCAATACAAACAGGAACGCATCTGATTGGCAGAAGCTTAATTTTCCATCATTACACTGAGCCCAAACACACTGCCAAGGCAATAAAAGTATACCTGGATAGAAAAACCTAATCAGTCATTGATTTTTTTTTCGTCTCCAGAGTCTGAGCCTCGATATTATTGAAGCAGTGCTGGATAATATTGACAGAAAGCAGAACAAAAGACAGCCAACATCCCAAGAAAGAGCTTAAAATGTCATTCGAGAAGCATGGGGAACCATTCCTGAGAGACTGCTTAAAAAATTACAAGAAATAGAGGCTGTGATGAAGAATATAGCTGGTAATACATGATATTGACGTTCTAGCTCTTTATAACTGTACAGTCCTTGTTATTGGCTTATATACTATATTTTCATGTTTGCTTGCACGTATAAATAAATTTCAAAAATATATTATTGTGGATTTATTTTGAAACGCTTCCCGGAAGTGCCGTCGTAACGCGGAGCATTTGACAGTGTTTTGCTAAGATTGGAGAGTCACATCTTGAACTATTTTCTTAGATTTCATTGTGTATCAAGGCGAAAAATAACCTTGGAAACAGTTCTGGTTTGGGCCTACATTCCCCGCGGACATATAGCGACATGCATATTCTAAATTTAAAACTAATATCAGCTAATTGTTAGCTATTTAAAGCCCTTAGCACGAATATCCATCAATAGGCAGCTAACAAGCCTAGCTAAAGAATTAGCTTTTAAGAAAATCTTAAAGCGGTGTTTTTGGACTTTTTATATCTGTAAGATAGTTTTTTGCTCATAATTATCGTTGTAATGTTTCTCCTTCCATCAATGCTTTAGCTGTGGTTTTTACCTCTTGTAAAGAAACAAGTTGAGCCTGAAGGTTTTCCTGCAGTCTGCTTCTTCAGGTAACAGATAGCATGCTTATTTTTGTCACTTCTTGCGTGCTGCTGTTCATTTGACTGAGCCGAACAAGAAATAATAACCATATAGCAGATGGTATGGGTCACATAAAACAATAACGAGCCTTAAGCTGGGCATACACTGTGCGATTTTTTTCAGTCGCGCGATTCGGCTCCTGCTCAAACTGTACGATTGACTCGCAGAAGTTAGAAGTTCGTAGGTCACGATGCAGGGTCTCACGCTATACG